AAAACCTGTCTTAGGCCAATCAAAATTTGATAACATAGCTACATGGTTGATGATTGAAATTTGGAACATTTATCCATTAATGTCTATTCTATCTGATTTTTGGTGATTTTAAATAAATTTTTAGCAAAAATTAGTTTTTAATGCATTTATATTGTTATATATAAAATATAATTTTTTTATAACGATCACCAAATTAACAAATTTTTCAATCCTTTATGCGAACAAAAATCCAAAAATTGTTATTTATACCTCTAGCTATGTTACCAAATATGTCTTTAAACTTGGCTGGTATACAACATTTTGTCTATTTTTATGTGTATATTTTTGTTTACATTTTAAAACAATCATGTGACCTTCAATTATTTACAGTAAAAAAGTAGCAATTTGCTTTACAGACATAAATATTGCCTTTTTTAGTTAAGATTCAAGTTTAAATAAATTTCTTTTTAAGTTAAAGTGGTCTTACAATGTGTATATTTAATAATAATTATCTAAAATATATTTTTAAATTTTTTTTTGATAAAAAGTTACAACAAATTACTAAAATTTAGCCAAGCTTATCATTTGGCGCGTTGTAATCTAAAATCGAAGAGAGTTTTCAATCATTCATATCTCGGGACTCGGTAGCCCCTTTAACTGTTGTACGCAAACTAATTATGAAAAATATCCAGAGATATTGAATTTAAAAATAATAAAACCAAGAATAATGTCCCTCTGCCTCAGAAAGATGAAATATATAAAAGGTTGTCTCGATTTAAATAATGATTTAAATCAGACAAATAAAAATAATTATTTAAATTGAGTTTTTTTATTTTAATTGTTTTTAATGATGATTTATTGATTTAATTTCATAATTCAATCAATTATTATAGACAAGTCATTGGTCTTAAAATAAAATGTCTGACAATAGTAGAAAGCTCTACATAAGTATAATATAAATTCTACTAACATCACTTTTTGTACATTGTTTTAATATGTTAGTAGATGGGGTTTCACAATCAAACACAGAAAACACCAAGCAAAAAAGACATACTTAAAATGTAAAATATCAGTTTTTAACAACTTCAATGCCACATATATTATTAATACCTTTAATAATATATCTTATAATAGCTATATAATCTAAACTATTATAAATGAATTATAAATTTTTTTTTTTTTTTTCAATACTTATACTGTATGACATTTCAAATTTTTGATATATTTAATAAAGAAGAATTTAAAATATCTTCTTTATTAAATAAATCGAACATTTGAAATGTTACATTTATTTAATAAAGATTATTAAATAAATCAAACATTTGAAATGCCAATACAGCAATAAATATAAAAAAATAATTTTAAGATCTCACACAAAAATAATTTAATTATTCCCTTTATTATTACATTAATAATTTAGATTGTAGTAAAAAATGTTTTAAACATATTATTTAAATGTTAACAAATATTTTATTATTTAAAAAAACAAAACATTAAGTCACGAGAATCTCTTGTAATTTATATCTTATAAGGAACCTTTTAAGACTCTTAGAAGATTCATAAATATAGCTTCTTTTTTTTTATTTTTATAATTTAAAAAAATGGAAAGATAATATCAAAACCTTTTTTTATTCTGTTAAATGGTACCATTTTTTTAAATGTTTTTTTTTTCCAACAAATTTAAAAATATATACTAATCCGCAACTACATTGGCCGAATATTGGCTGCGGCATATATTGCAAAATATTAAGCCTAAACAACATTGGCCAAATGTTGGCCCAACGTAGTACGATAATTGCAAAAAAACGATTTGTAGAATTACAATATAACGTCGAAAAAAAATATTGGCTAAATGTTGGCCCAACGGAATAAACTTGCCAATGTTAAAACTTACGTTGGGCCAATGTAAGCTTGCAGTCTGGTAAATGGCTATATATGTCCGAAATGATATATCTGCATACGAAATTGATAACAAGGAAGCAAGAAAACAATTGTGTGATACTACTATAGAACAAATATGTTGTCAATGTAAAATAGGTTATACATTTGTGTTAGTTGGGTGTATTTATAGACCGCCAAATAAAGCTTACGAGGGGCAAAAGTAATAAATAAATTAATCGTATACGCAAAATCTTTATGTGACGACGATGCCTTACTTATAACAGGAGTTTTTAATTATCCAAATCTGAACTAGTTCTCTAAAATATAAATCATTTCAAAGAAAATCGGCATGGAGAACGATATTTTTAGACACAACAAACGAACAATCTTTAGGACAAATGGTAAGTACGCCAACGTATCAGAAATCCAATATGGAATAATCTAGCTTACTTGATTTAACTTTAGTCAAAAAGAAGCATAGAATTGGATACATAAACAGTCTTCCTCCATTAAGAAATGAATATCAAGGTTACCTAATACTTCAATATAACTCTATGATAAGTACTAACAACGATAAACAATTTACAAGTAAAAATCTTGATATTAAAAATGGAGAATATATAAATATAAATAAAGTTATATCTGAAACATATTGGCCAATCTTGTTTGATAATAAAAGTATTGCAGAGTGTTATAGTTTATTTTTAGCTAAATATAGAGAATGGCGAATCAAACATTAAAAAAAAATTGTCAAATAAACAAAAAACATAAATATGTTAATTACAAAGTAAAACAAATTATTACAAAAAAAAAAACAAGTTATGGCATCGCATTAACACTAGGATGAACGTCTATATCATTAATTTAAAAATATAAGGTAGTACGCAACTCAGTTAAAAATAAAATAAAAAAATGTGTTCAGAAATATGAAATAAGTTTGACAAACGATAAAATAATCCTAAACGTCTGTATTCATAATCAAGCGAAAGACAAGCAATTAAATCTAACAAAATTAATGCATTACACAATCAAAATGGTACTATTTCAACTACGGGTAAAGATAAAGCTAACACATTGAACAAACATTTACAATAGTTTATAAACAAGAAAATGAATCGGAGCGCTTGTCTTTTCTTAAATCTCAATTGGTTATTAAACCAATAGAAAACATAAATTTCAGAATTGATAAAGTGCAATCCCATTTGTCAAAACTTAATCCTTTCAAAATCGATTGGTTGAGATTTTATTAGCCCTTACGTTTTAAAAATGTACCCAGAATCATATTCTTCACCATTGCAACTTATTTTTTATTCAGGTTTTTGATAATAGTGGATGTATTCCAAATGCTTAGACTAAAACGAATGTTAGACCTATCTTTAAAAAAGGTAGTAAACTAGAACCATCCAATAACAGACCAGTCTCGATCACATTGGTTCCATAAAAAGTCATGGAACATCTTATCTTAAGGCAACACATAAACAACCATTTGACAACAAATAACTTAATCACCAAGGAAAAACATAGTTTTTTCCCAAAAAAATATTGTACAACCAATCTACTCGAATGCTCAGATTTGGAGACAAAATGTATAGCTCGTAAAAGTAGTGTTTATATGATATATTTAGACTAAAACTTTTGATTAAATGCCACATCGACGATTAATTCAGTCATAAATGTATGGTTTAAATAAAATAATTGCTAAAATGGATTCAGGATTTTCTAAAGAATAGGACGTAAAGGGTAATTATGGGTCATGATGTATCGGGTTATGTGACAAGTGATGTACCGCAGGGATCTGTTCTCGGACCAACTCTATTTATATTATGCATAAACAACTTACAGAGCGAAAACAAAACTAGATGTTTTATTTATGCGGATGATACTAAGTTAATAAAACTTATAAAACCAAACACAAATTTAAAGAATTTGCTAGAACTTCCAGATAGTATTAACAAAAATTCAACTTAGTTATTATTATGGAATTAAATATCGATAAGTGCATGGTTATGCATATAGGTAAAAAAAACACCACATCATGAATACTCAATCACAAACGCTAATGGCTATTTTTTTAAAAGTTAAAAAAATCGAAACAATAAGAGATTTAAGTTGTTACATCCAAAGACCTAAAAACCCATGCACATTTAAATTATTTTTTTGCAAAAGCAAATAGTATACTTGGTTTTTTGAAGCATTTATCTCAATCAAGAAACAAGCACTTATGGAAAAGGCTATACACCATTTATATCCGCCCGCATCTAGAATTTGCTGTGCCTGCTTGGAGACCATATCTAGAAGGAGATATCTTTAAAAGTGAACAGGTACAAGGAAAAACTACGAAAGTTGCACATTGTATAAAGAATCCTTCGTATAAAGATCAAATGATTAGACTTAATCTAACAACGCTGGAAATAAGAAGAAATTGCGGAGATCTGATTAAAATATTTAAGCTAGAAAACCATTTATAAGTGGTAGAGTGGAAAGCACCTAAATAAATATTAGAGGAAATTTTAAATTTTAGCAGTCAATATTAGAGAAAATTTTTTGCAAGAGATGTTTAAAAACTCAGACATTCAACAATTATGTGTGTAAATTTTTTTACACACAGAATTGTTAAGGACATTAATAAATTAAAATCAGTTTATGAAGTTAAGGTTTTACTTGAGAGGTTAAGCTTGGGCTGCTATAGCGCACTAATTACTGTTGTTGAGCTGCACAGTTAGTTTACATAAATTTATATTTATAAATACTCTGTCAAATATCATTTATTCAGAAATATTTATTACTAATATTACTCTACTGAATTTTTAAATATTTAAGGGGGAAAACCCTAGAATTATTTAAACTTGGCAATTTTTGCCAAACTTAAATAACTCTAGGTTTTCACACAAGAAACCAGTGACATTAAATGTTTAAGATATATATAATATACTAGCATTTATAATTAAGTTTATCATGGATGCTGTCTATTCCTGAAGTTTTAACGTTATCAATTTGCCAATTAAGTTCATCACCGCAGTTTAAAACATTATAAACAACATCAATTTGAAGTGCTCAATTTTTTTTTATCATTTATTTTCAATTTAATAATATTTTTTCACTTTTGAAACTTACTAATTTTCAATATATTACTTTAATAGCAACTAACGATGTATCACGAGGTGCTAACCCTACTACGTCATCAACCTTCCTTAATAAGCCAGAAAACGACCGAAATAAAGCAGTTGACGGTGATCTGGCAACAGTAGCGGGCACTGATATTGGAGCTGACATGAGTTGGTTTAAACTGGATTTGCATTATGTGTATCAGATTATTAAAATTGTAATCTACAATCGAAACGATTGTTGTCAAGCTAAAATGATTCGAAATATCCTGATTGTGAGTGAAACCGACCAATACTCGAATGGTCTTAAGATAGCAACGCTGACTTTAGACCATGAGCAAACTTTTATTGGTTCATCTACTGGAAGATATATTTTCCTTATTAAAGAAAATTCTGATTCGCTGGCTCTAGCAGAAATTTACGTATACGTATAATAATCTTTTTTTTTTATACTTGAGAATTTTCAAAGAAGTTTAAAAAATAAGGATTTTGTATATAGTTCTATTTAAACATTTTTATGTAAATGTCTGTAACGTATAATGTATTATGTATGCTATTAATGTTTTAAACAATATAAAAATATAGTTTTTTTATTAATAGTGTTTTATTCGTTAATCTAATTTTTTTTGTTGAATTATATTTCAGATACAATAAGATACAAAAGGTGATTAGTGAAAAGTAATACAAATGTACAAGTACTTTTATAAAAAGAATAAAAAAAAAAGAAACGTGAAGATTTTCGAAAGATCTATACATTGTATTTAATTTGTTTATTTAACTTAGATTTAAACTAAATCAACTTTGGCTGAGTTAGAGGTGGTGGTAAGAGCGTGTTGTTGCTTGCAGTAACTAACTAGTAAAAAACATTTGATGCAAAGCTGTGGCAACCGATTGAGCCAATGGAATTGCAACTGTTTTTGAACTTCTTGTATTTGTTTTTTAACTTCTTACAATGTTTTTCCTTTTTTTTTTTAAGGCTTTTTTGAACAGCTGGAGATATATTTAAAGTTAGTTATTAGCAGATGAGGTGATTTAGAGCAAGCGCTATACGACGTACGCTTGAGAAATTTTAAATATCTTGATGAGGCATTAATTTTGCTATAATGAAGAGACTGACAAGTACTCAAAAATTATTTTGAGTACTTATCGGCATTATGCGGCATGCGCCATTAATTTTGTTATAATGATGAGACTGACAAGTACTCAAAAAAAATATTTAATTAATTATGGAATACTTTAGCTCCATATAACTATGGAGCTAAAGTATTCCATAAATAATTAAAAGTTGCTATAGCAAAATGTTTACTCTTGCATCTTTGTCTTTAAAAAGCCATACAGATGAAAATTGTCATTATTTTATAAAAGATATTTTAAAAGAAGAATCAGTAAAAAAAGAAAATATCAAAAGCCTAAGAATATTTTCAGAGGCGTTGCAAAGATTATATACTCTATACAGTGTTACTCTATACAAAGTTATATACTCTATACAGTGGTACAGCAAATATGGTGAAAACTTCTGAACTCTTAGGCTCCAAGGATCAACAACATTGGCTAACTCATATCTTACATTAAATGTTTACATGTGATACCATAAGTAATTGTAAGAAAATAAAATGCTTAATAGAAAAATACAAAATAATTACTTTATTTTGCTTTATTTTGCAGTAATTTTAATATATAGATTACATAAATTTAATTATTTTATTACATTCAATCTTGTTTTACAGTAACTTTAATAAATAAATTACAGCAATTTTTCTTTATTAAAAAAATTATTTTATTTTCTTTTGGTATAAAGTTATAAGAAAAACTAAGGAATATTTGATTGTTCACTATTTGCTTAAAGATTTGTCAATATTTAAAAACACAAGATTTAGAGAATTTATGTGTGAATTCTGTCTGAATCTCAATATCTTTTCAATCAAAAATAAAAATTAAATTTTTTAGATTAGTAAATCAAAAAAAAGCTCATTTTTTTTTTTCCAGATATTTATATATACTTTAAGAACATGAAGTTTGGAACTATATAGATCTTTACTTTTTTCTGTAACTCTTCTTAAGGTAAACGTGTTTACTTTTAAATTATATTAACGCCGATTTTCACTCATTGATTTATCAATAAGTATAAAAAATTATTATTATTTCTGAGAATAATTTTATGGTTTAGCATCTAATAATGTGTAGAAAATTTCAAATAATATAATTAGGGTAACAAAGTATGTATCGACCTTTACTTGTTATAAAGGAAGTTGCTATGAAAGCATGGTAAGAAAAAATGTTACTAAGTTGTAAATTTCAAGCATAACTTTAAAATATTCCAATTTGTTTATAACAACTTTAAGGAATTATTTTAGAGAAGTATCTTTGTTCAAAAAATTAAGTAAGTTAGAGGTACTAGGTTATTTTTTGAATTTTTAGTGTTGTTTTGACACGGTTTATCCTTTGTTAATATTCAAAAAGAACTTCGCCGATGCGTTTATCGAATGTGACGTACGGTATACACTGGAAATTATATCCGCTATCCCACAAATATAACCTCGTATGCGTTCGCAAAACGCAACTAAGAAAACATGTGGAAATATAAATATAAAAAAAACACTTGATGTTTATGATAATAATACTTTTATGCTTGTTTAGGAAAATGTATGAAAAAAAATCCAAATATCATATTAATTATTTTAAAATTTTTCGTATTTACTACATAATAGTAACATGAGGAAATGATAATTATACTTTGTTTGGTAATAAATAACTTTATTAAATTTTTTTACATAGTTACCTGCTTGACAACATAAAATATGTGACTCTTAGACAGAAATAAAGGCAAAAATATATTGAGAGGTAAATATCATAGGAAGGTTTATTAAATAATATGATATCAATTGAAAAGTTTACTCTCCTACAGCCTGGCTAAAATAAAAGACTTTGTAAACAGTTCTAATTTATAATAATAATTTATGCATATATATATATATATATATATATATATATATATATATATATATATATATATATATAATATATATATATATATATATATATATATATATATATATATATATATATATATATATATATATATATATGTATATATATATATATATATATATATATATATATATTTATATATATATATATATATATATATATATATATATATATATATATATATATATATATATGCATAAATATATATATATATATATATATATATATATATATATATATATATATATACATTTATTAATCCTATTTATTAATCCTATAATATATATATATATACATTTATTAATCCTATTTTTTGCCTATAACGCTGTAATATTTTATCTCTATAGACTTTTATTATAAAGGTATATTTATTGGCTTTAGTACATACATCTTTAATAATACTGTTATATCGACTCATGGCTTGGCATGCGGTTGCAATATTCAATTTTTTAAAATATTAAAATAATGAATTAAAGGACTCTGTGAAAAGGTTGTTATACATTTATATATGTTTGGTAATCATCTAACTTAATCTGTTGATTGTATTGTCCAATGTCGACAGTATTGTAATAGTTGTTTGCAGTAAATAAAGTTTTTTTTAACTTAAAATTCATAAGCTACTTCAATGGGAATTAAATAAGGTGAGAGTGTTTGCTATTCAAATAATTGAATTTTTGTGCTGGTAAACCATGAGAATTTATAGAGCGAAGTCAAATAGACTTTGCTCTATGAATTAGAGCATTATCTTGCTGAAAAATAAAATTAGTGTTACTAAATTTTTGAAAAATATCATTCAAATGACCATTTAACAAATTTCTATATAATTCAGCATTTAATATAGTACTAATAAAGCCAATCAAAGTTTTTCAAAAATAACTAAACATACCCCAAATTATTACTTCTCCGCCTTCCATAGCCCTTCTTTTTGAAAATATTTTCTCTTTTTTATGTCATACCAGAAGTAATTAAAACCATCTGGACCATCAAGATTGAATTTTTTTTATGAGACCACACAATTTTTTGCCATTGTATTTCCCAAGTGATGTGGTCCTTGGCCCATTCAAGACAAATGCATTTGAGCGCTTCAGTTAGTGCTGGAGATGTGCGTTTCTTTGCATATCTAAGAAAGCCTGACTTGTTAATTACAGGATTCACCATCCATCTTGAGCATTTCAATCCCAAATCAGTGCCTATTTGTCTCGCAGAGATTGTACGGTTACTAGAAGCATGTGCAATTTGTCGCTGCTGGTGAGCTGTAAGTATAGGTTTTCTACCACTTTGATACTTTGTGCAATAATTTGATGGATCATTTACAAAACTGTTGATCAAATGTGAGCGTCTCAGTTTGCAAGCAATTGCCCTGTTTGATAAATGCAGTGACCAGTAGTCTTCGATCTTGCTTTTCTCTTCTTCAGAGAGTGTAGGTCCTCTTGGCATTCGTTAGAATATATTTTATAATTTGAAAATGTAATAAATTTAATTTTAAAACATAATTTACTACTATTTTTTGATGGTTTTTGATGCAATTTAGATAACGAGGTTATAATTGTGCACCACGGTTTTATAATTTGAATTAATTAAAGTATAAATAGATTCATGTAAATTATTTTGTTTTTTTCAAAAAATGATCTACATATAGATTCTGATCAACAAACTTTGAAAGATAGTTTTAAGGCTTCTATACAGGTGAGGTTATAATTCTGCACCCCACAATGTTAACTCACAAAAGTATAATTATTGTTAAAACTAAAATAAAAAACATAATCTTATTCAAAAAAAATAATTGCATCATATACTGCAATGCTTTTTAAAAAAAAAGTCGTGTTCAAAACAAAAATTAAAATTAAAAAAGAGCACAAATTTAAATGAAGAGCAGCTTGTACAGCTCCCCAAGTTTGTTTTGAGAGTATATATATATGTATTTATATTTATGTTTAACAATTGAAAAACTTTAACATTTGTATATATATGATAAAATCATTATGAAGTTTTTATTAAGTTTAATATATAAATTTACATTTTGGATATTTTTAGAAAAACTATTTTATCTGTTGATGAATGGCAACTTTAAGAAACACTCCAAGCTCAATTTTAAGTAGAACATCTAGTCGCCAATTATCTCATCAGTCTTCTAGATCAAATATATTTGGAAGAATATCCAGCAAGAGAAGTGTTTTGTTTGATGCTGAAGGTGCAGTAACTGTAGAAAAAGCAGTTCCAAAAAAATCAAATGTTAAGGTAAATATGTGAAGCAAGGTTATGCACAATAACATGTGCATAATCTGTGTTATTATTGTAATGATTGGTCATGTAATGATCATTTTAAACTATATTTTTTTAAATATTTCAAAATTAAATAATTACAATCAATTAAGATTTATAAGTAAATAAAGTTCATTAAAAATGATTAAATTTGTTTTTACTTTAAAGTGTTAGATGAGGTCCCCTCTAATTTTTCTTTTTTTGAGATTTTCTAATCTTAAAAAATAAATACAACTTTGGTAGCTTTTTGCTAAACCTTTTCAAGATTTTTTTTTTTCATTTTTTAGTTGTATTAATATTATTATTTTTTTTAAACTAGAAATTTTTATCTACTAAAGTGCCTAAAAATTAAAAAGTTTAATGCTGTTTTTTAAATAAAGTTATAGGGGAGGGACGAGTTGGTTTGAATTTTTTGACAATGGAAAAGTAAAGTCAAAAAGTTTCAAATTAAATTAAATGTTGAAATCTATGTTACTTTTCCTCAGTATTTTAATACCTCAACGCTCGAAATAGCGGCCGATCAACAATCAAAGATCGTCTACTTTTGGAAAACTTGACATTTTGATTGCCTAAAATTAAATCTGGCCAATCAAATTTGATCGGCAGAAGTTGCTAGTCAAACTTTTTTAATAATTAATACGAAAAAATTTCAAATACAGAAAGTTAAAATTTAATTGGCATCAAAATTATTTTAAAATGAATTATATTCAAAATAAAATAATGTAAATAATGTAAAAACGGCAAAACAAAAAACTATTTTAAATTCTGAATAAAAAAATTTTAAAAAATGGCAAAGTTTTATTATTATTCTAAATAAAATGAAAACAGCAAAACAAACCATTTGTTTATTTTTTGTAATAAAATAAAATAAAAACAGCACATCAAAAATTAATTTATATTTTAAATAAAATAATTATGATAAAAACGACAAAACAAACAATTTATTTAAATTCTAATAAAATAGTTGAAATAAAAACGACATAGGGATTTATTTCAATTCTAATTTAAATAATTAAAATAAAAACAGCAAAAGATTGTTTTTTTAAATTCTAAATAAAGTTTAAACGAATATTTGCTTAAATTTTGAATAAAATAACTAAAATAAATATGGCAAAACTAATGTTAACTTTCAAAAATTTCAAACAAAATAATAAAAATAAAAATGGTAATGTTTTATTTATACTCAAATCAAAACAATTAAAAAGAAATACGGCAAAACATACAATATATATAAACTCTAAATAAAATAATTAAGATAAAAACAGCAATGTTTCCTATATACTCAAAATAATAAATATAGAAAAAAGGCAAAACCAACGGTATACTTAAATTCGAAATCAAATGTAACTGACTAAGCTAATATAGTTTTTTCTTTACAACTTGACCTATTTTGATGTTTTAACAATTTAAATGCAATAAAAAAAATGTTGCGTTATGAATAACTTTTAATTGTTGATCTTTTCTTAAGTTTTTATTTTACGTGGTTATTAATAAAACCATATAACTAATGATAATGATAGTTTACATAAATGCATGTGTTACTTGATAAAAAATGTTATATAAAAATCTTAATATTAATTAATAAAAATCTTTAAAAAAACATTTTTTTTGAATTTTTTTTTATTTTTTATTATAAATGAGTTTTAATCTTTAATAATAACTTTTAAATTTATCACGTGAAGTGTTTATTAATAAAGTTGTAAAAAATTAAATTAAATTGCTTGTTGACAATTTTTTTATTTTAATTAAATCGCAAGTGCATTTTTTTTTTCTCCCTATTTTAACAAATAAAAAAAGTTAAAACCTTTTTTTCAACTTAACTCACTAATTAGAGGATGAAATTATTATAAATTACTATTTAAAGAGGAGACTATTATAAGATATTTTTTTTAACAGTTTTTTTATTGTTTCAATTTTTTTGAAAAAATAAATGTTGATACTATTTAAAAATAATATATACAACACTTTTTAATAAATTTGATAAAATTTCATCATTTAATAAACAATTATTAGAAATTTGTTACTTAATTTAAAAGCGATTTAAAAGCGTTTTGCAAAACTTAAATAATATGTTTAAAAAAATAAGTATTAATAACATTTATTACAAACCTTAACTAAATACGTAACAAAACGTTTTGCTTTGAGTTTAATTTTTTATTTTTACTTTTGTGCTTATATAATTTCTTTTTCATAATTTTTTTCCTTTATTTTTTTGTTAGGAATTTTTTTTTCATTAGTTTTTTTTTAAAACTTTTTTTCCAAGTTTAAGTTTAGCTTCGCGTTTCTACATTCAACGCATTTCTAGAATGTTTGTCATATAAACAATAGTGGTCAAGTAGTCTAAAAATAAAATAATTTGCGTGGTCAACAATAACCCTTGATTACATGCCATTCCTGTCCAAGCCTAAATATATATATATATATATATATATATATATATATATATATATATATATATATATATATATATATATATATATATATATATATATATATATATATATATATATATATATATATATATATATATATATATATATATTAATAAAAAAAAGCAGACATGCAATTTATTATTTCGAGGTGCGACTGTACTGTGTTTTTAACCCTCTGTCGGGCGCGCTTGATCAAATTGATACATGTCAATCAATTTTATCTGGTACGAGTTTTTGAGTAATGACTCAAAGTTCTGCTTTTTAGTAGCTTCATTTTTTTCTTTCTTTTATTGTTCTACATCATCATACATGTTTAAATCACTTAATATGAATTGATTTTTATCATTTTGATCAAATTGATACATTGCGCCCTTTTATGTTACATTTTATAAGTTTGATTATAATAAAAAGTATTATATCTGGTATATACATTTTTAAATTTGTAGACATAATTTGATATTATTTATTGTTCAAATCAACGGGAATGTATTTTTTAAAATTAAAATATCAAGTTGATACATCGCGCCTTAGAGCGTTATTGGTTACAAAAGTCTCATAAGTATAAAAGATTAGATATAAATCTAACCTTTTATACTTATAATTAAAACCGTTTTTTTTATATTTTTTAAATATATTTTAATTTGTTCATCTTTTTTTTTAATATATTAGTACCTCTTTTTTGCCTCTAAAATGGATGAAATGGATTATTTAATCTTGAAAGTTTAAAAAATATAGAGGATTTTGTAAAAAAATCTATTAGATAGAAAAGGAGGTAAAGATTTAAAAAAAAAAAATTATTTTATGGGAATGCTCAACATGTTGTTAGAAGAAATATTTTCTTAAAGAGATGTTTTCATGAGTTAGTGATGTCTTAACTTATTTCAAAAAGTTTAAGAAAAAAAAGAGGGTTACCAAAAGAACTTAGTGATAGTTTACATCGCTTTAGAACAATCCCAATTTTAGAACATAATATTAGAAATCAAAATCAAAATAAAAGATGTCAGACATGCACACAAAATAAACGATTAACAAGGTATAATTATCAACAATGCCATCAACCTATTTGTTTGATACAGGGCTAACAACGTTGGGGGGGGGGGGACACATACCCAACCACTTTTTTTCTAAAGTACCTTTTTTTTAGAGAAATTTCTAGTTATAAAGGACTTTTTTGTAAAAAAATAAACAATATTACTTCTCTACTTCAAAACCTGTGTCATCGGCAATGTGGCACACCTAAAAAGCTATTGCGGCAGTTGTGTAAAAACTGTACTAGGTTTTGACGTTCAAAACGATGTTAGAACATGATAATTAACATATTAAATTAATATTATATAAATGTTACACTTCTTTTCAAAGAATTCAGAATTTATTTTTTTTTCCTAATTTTTTTTTATATAATTAGCTTTTTAAAATAGTTGCTGGAAATTTGTATCAATTTGATCAACGCGCCTCTTATTGAAAATAGCAATTGTGATGGAATTTTTAATTATTGTAAATACTTCATATTTATTCAAAGTATATTTAAACAGTTTATAAAAAAAAATTATAAAAAAATAAAAATAAAATACTATATTGGTGAATTGTTATGTGTATCAATTTGATACAATGCGCTTTCCAGAGTTACAAAATGATTGCGCCCGACGGAGGGTTAAACATTGTTGTTGCATTTTTAAACATGCTTTTTCTCTAAATAAAGTAAATTTTAAAATTAAGTTTTCTTTCATTTCCAAATGCTATTGTATTAACTTTTAAACCTTATAGTCGCATTTTGAATCACATGAATGGGCAATCATTAAGTAATTCATTAGTAAAATAATTTTTTTTTTAACTTGTAAAGGATGTACATGAAAAATCATTATTAGAATGCAATTAATGATGCATATGGAAATTCTTTTTTCCAAAAAAAAAATTCTTAGTATAATGAAAAATGTTCAAAACACTAAAAACATGACGTTTTAAACATTCAACTAAATTAAATTTAATTGAAGATTGTGAGAGAATAATAGAATATTTTTCTATATATAAAACGTTTCTTTGCAATTTTGGCTTTCAAAAATTTTGCTTCACGTAATGAAACCTTTAAGATTGACAAAAACAAACAATACGATACAGAATGCAACTAGAACAAAAATGACAACTCATCTTTAACTTAATTAACAAATAAATTTACTTTTTAATAAACTGTTTTTTATTAGATGCATTTTAGCAGTCCGGCATTTAAATTTTTTTTCTTCATTATTTTCACTGGAGAAAAAATTTAAAAAATATGACCTGGATGATCTATAATATATTTGTATGTATATATGTAATTATTTGATATTATAATTTTAAAAGTTTATGTGATGTCTTTTTTTATTAAATGCAACTTGTACATATATCAAATGACAAAAATATGACTTTTAAAGATTCATGTTTTTTAAGGTTTATGATGAATTCGGTGTAGATGTTACACCGAAAAGTTTACTTGCATCATACTCAAATGGATCGAATGAGTGAGTTTGTATTATTTTTTATGAAATTTGTTTATTCTTTTTTTAGCTTTAACATCACAAGTCCTTATTCAGTGTTAAAAAAACTTACTTGTGTAAAGTGTGTTAAATATTCATTAGGCATTGAAGTTATAAAAAAAAAATCCTTTAAAAAAAAAGTGGGTGGAAGGGAGTGCTGGTTGCCCTACATGCCTTCTTGGGCTCCTTGGTGTTGTTGGTTGTTGTATATGGTAGTGCACATTTGTGGTCGATTTTTTACTAAATTTAAAAGATCTCATGAATGTTAGATTTATATAATTTTTTCAATATTTGAGAGATATTTTAACCTACTAGAAATTTGTTAAAAAAAGTAGTTTTTTTTTTTTTTTTGAGAAGATATTGTCTAAAGTTTGTAGAGCTGCTCAATCTGTCCACCAGGGTAAATTGAGCAATAATGTGTTGTAAGTTTAGCAATCAAAAAATAAATAAATAAATATGCATAGTACAAAACTTGGGTAAATCATCAATAAAACTCTCACTAGCAGTAAGCGTGTGTATAATTTATAAACTTTTTATTTAAACACCTTAATGACATAATTAATAGGAGAGAAAAAATTTAAAATATAAAAGTAGTTTTTTTATACAACTATCTTAAAATTTGAAGCCCAATTTAAAAATTATGAATTTTAAAGATATACACAAATAATTCTTTTTTTGTGTTCGATAGTACAGTTTTATTATTATTTTTTTAAAGCTGTTTTATTTACCACTACTAAACACATTAACTGTCACGTTAACTAGGTTTTAAAGAGAACAGTAAGATTTAAGAAAAAAATGGCTAATTTTAATCTAATTCCCAATAAATTAGTAAAATATCAACACTTAAGCCATGGCAAATAAAAAAAATCTATAAGCATTTAAGAAAAAAATATTGAAATTTTTTTTTACTTTTTTGGTTCAATTAGAAAAAATGACTGTGCATCTTACTCAACTTTGCAAAACAAAAGATTGATTTCCACCAATCTTTTGTTGCGCATTGTATTAACATTCTAATTCCCTATTTTTCATCCATTAAATATTTTGTCATGTGATGCATAATTTTTGAGAATTTTTAATTGCCCATTTTTATGCTCAGCTAACCCTGCTCTACCCTATACAAATATTTTAATGTAAAAACATAATCATTTCTCCTTTTTTCAGAGCCAACCTATATTGTTGTGGCAAATAAATTCCTCCACAACTGAACAGTCGTTCTCTTGACAAAATAAAATAACACTAAATAAAATTATTCTAAAAATAAAATAACACTAAATAAAATTATTCTATATAAAATAGCACTAAATAAAATTATCCTAAAAACAACATGTTTATAAAAGTATAAGTACATTTAGCTTTTAAATTAAAGTAAATTTTAAATTAAACATCTTAAACATAAACAATTAAAGCTTATAAACATCTTAAAGATGAACAATTTTGCCTGTTTTATTATTATCATGATGTAAGATAAAAATATTAAAATGCCATTTGTTGGAAAATCGATAAATCAGTAAAAAAAGGCCAATGCCAATAACCAAATCCAATTGTGCAAAGTGGCCAATTAAGCAGATACCAATGCCAATTATTCTGTACATCACTAGTTTATAGAACTATATTTTTTGTTGTTATAAGAATCATCATCTTTAGTTGTTGCAGAAATCATCATCTTTGGTTGTTGTAAGAAATCATCATCTTTGGTTGTTGTAAGAAATCATCATCTTTGGTTGTTGTAAGAAATCATCATCTTTGGTTGTTGTAAGAAATCATCATCTTTGGTTGTTGTAAGAAATCATCATCTTTGGTTGTTGTAAGAATTTTGATAATAATAAAGCAAATAAAAGGGAAATACACAAAGTAATGTGAAAATTTTTTTATTTTGTGAAAATATAAGTGGTAGACATCATTTCTGATAAGTTTTGTAACATCAGATTTAAAATTATAGAAATTATATCCCCTTTAAAATGCCTCTATCCTCAAAATGTAAAAATTAGGTCTATTTAAAAACTGAAAATTAACCAGGCGTCCAGTAAATTTAACACTTGAACATTTTAGTAATGTATTATCAATATAAGAAAAAGAAATACTGATAAATTAATTTTGGGATGTCTTGTAGCTGCTGAGATATCTGATCTTAACTTTTTTATCAAAATAGGATTTTGAAATTCAAAATCGGCCATTTTGAATTTTTTTTAAAGTTAATATCTTGAAAACCGATGAAAATTAGTTTAATTATTCTTTTTAAAACTGATAAACATTTTAATGTGAAAATTTATTTATTCTTTTTAAAACCGATTAACATTTTAATGTGAAACTTTGTTTATTATTTTTAAAATTCTCAATCTGCCCACCAGGGTAAATTAGTTTAATTATTCTTTTTAAAACTGATAAACATTTTAATGTGAAAATTTATTCTTCATATAAGTGGTAGAACTTGAAAAGCTTCCACTGCGAAACAATAACAATTTATTACTCTCCCGTCCCACTATTGGGATCGGAATGCGGAACTTGGGCAACAACTTCTTCGGACAAATAACTATATACACACCCTGCACACTTTGTATCTGATTTTAAACCGTCCTTTTTCACTTTTTCTTAACTTTCTAAATCAACTCTTATATGCAAACCAGACTTATGTTAACCCAAACGGGACTTAAAACACAACAGAAGTCACAAAAATTATGCGACATCGATAGTTGAAACTTAAAAATACCGTGGACACTAATATTTTGTACAATACGGTTTGTTTATTCTAATGTTACTTCTTGCGCAACGTGTTTTAATAATTTTCTAAAAAGTATATCAGCGTACTTTGTTTAAAATGGATCAAGTTAGGGTATTTGGCTGAGCAGTAGGATGTCCTCTCAAATGTTGCAACATAAGAAGGCTTTGACGCAGAGGTAGAGGTGGGTTTTATTTGCTTGTTTTGAGGATGTTACCTTGACGGTAGTTTCTAGAAATGAGCATTAAAACATTCGAAATGTCAAATACCAGAGTATTGAATCTTTATAAGGATCAATACAAATGTCCACTTCTTGATGAAAATCTGGTATTATACTACATAATTTTGAATTTTATTTTAACACTGATGTATTTTTATTTTCTTTCTTTAAACAATTATGCGCTTTTTCGCCTTTATATTAGATGTTTGTTTTTGTTGTTTGTTGTAATACTTCTGCTTTATAGTTGTACTTTTTGTTTAAAGAATTGAGTAATTGTGTTATATTAGGTTAATTGTGTATCACATTATGCTTACCACAACGATGGCAATTGTTAATAATTGTTTTGATTTTTTTAATATGTTTTTGAATATTTATCTGATAATTTCATATAGGTTTACTTAGATGTTCTTTTGTTTTTATCTGTGGCTGAAGGCATTTGGGTTGCATGTAAATAAACAGAATTATTGTGTTTGTCGATCTTTGAGTATATAAACTAAATTTGAAAACGAATATTTTTATTATAAGGTTGCATGCTTTTATGAAATAAAACAAATTCATTAAAACGATCAACTCCACTAAGCGGTATGAATTATAATTGAGCCTATACTGAGTTAAACAAAACTGGAAATAAGTAAAAACAATAACTTTTTCTAATATAATCAATCACTTCCTTTGTCTAAACCATTTACGTCTAAATATGTTCCACTAGTGACTATACTCACTGATTCTAGTTGCGAACCTGATATGTAAAGAGAACATAATAAGATTGGACTGAGCAAGACTAAGAACCATTATCTACGAACACACAGATTCAAAGCAATAAAAACATTAAATGACACATAAAACTTTAACGTTTAGAACAGTACAAACACAAAACACGATAACTTACAGAACACTGCAACAACACGTACTTAAATCTAACATGAACAACACTTACTTAACTCAAACTTAATTACTGAATAGTACTCTTCTTTTAAACACCAACTCTTAATTCTGGACATCTGTCCAAATATTATAATTTATCTTGCACTTCCTTGCACTCATATAAAATATTTCTTGCTTCTCTAAGACTATTACGGTCTGATGGTTCCATATAAGTGGTGGAACTTTAATAGCTTCCACTGCGAAACAATAACAAAAAAAAAAGGTTCATAAATATTTTGCAGACGAATAGAAAGGTGAATGGAATCGACCTTTGATCCTATTGAACATTAAGCACGTACAAAAAAACTATTTAAATCAATATAGCCAATTTGAAAGAGAAAATGTAAAAAATGACATTTTAACTTATCGTAGAAAATATAAAAGAATAATAATAATAATATAAAAGAATAATAATATAAAAGAATAAATAAATTTTCATATTAAAATGTTTACCAGTTTTAAAAAGAATAATTAAACTAATTTACCCTGGTGGGCAGATTGAGCATTTTAAAAAGAATGTTTATTCTTTTTAAAATAAATTTGAAACTCAAAAAATGGTATAAAATTAATGGTATAATAATAATGTTTATTCTTTTTAAAATAAATTTGAAACTCAAAAAATGGTATAAAATTAATCTCAATTACCTTAAAAGAATGTAAGAAAAAATACTTTTTTGTTGAACATTTGAAAATTTAATAATATTTCTTTAAATTCTTGCTCAGAAATTTAACAGCTTCTTGCAGATTGACATTTTGCAACCAGAGTATTTTTTGCCAGACAAAAAGACAAAAATTTGTCTTTTTGTCTGGGCTATTTGAAGTTTTCTTTATTTTGTTGCAAAGTATCATAAATATGACATAGATTGCTAAGAGTTTCCTAGTTTTTGTATTGGTTAGCAGCTCCATCACTAAAGTAATAAAATAAGGTCAAATTTGACAGGAAATTTTTTATATTTTATAAAACTCTTGTTAAAAATTTATTAACAGCATTAGCATCATGTTGCATTCAGTCAGATAATTTGCAATACTTTATTATTTTAAGTTTATTTTCAGACCCTATGTAGTAAATAAGGAAAGAATGTAGTGTTGCTTAGCTATTATTCCATTGAAATTCTTGAACTGAGT